ACCCCCCCCCCCCAACTTTAAGCAATCCCTTGTCTTTTTTTTGTTCAGTACTTGGAAGAGTCTAAGCACGAACATAGATCACAAAATTCATGATGTTTATCTTTCAAGCAACAGTTGCCGTCTTAACTTTAAGCAACCCCTCGTCTTTTTTACATCAGTACTTGGGAGAGTCTAAGCACGAACATAGAACGCAAAATTCATAATGTTTACTTTTCAAGCAACATCACTATCAATGCCAAGTAGATGTAAAGCCCATTAGAAAGACCAAAGACTAACCACATAGTCCAAATGAATGAATAAGGTGCTTTCCAATCACAGAGGTTACAAGTATGCCAAGCACACACTGGACGACTGCTACATTGGCCACAAAAATATGTCCCGCTTAGTAATTATGTGTACAATATCCATCTCCTTCACTTTACAAAGCAACATCTTGGAGGCCCATAGCCGTCAGAATAGCTATAGTAATTGTTTTTTACCACTTATAAGTAGAAGATGTTCCTTATTATTGTAACTTGAAAGTACAAATTTCGATTTTACCGGATGGAAATCTTGGTGCACCTTGATTAGTAAAGTAAGATGTCACGTCTTTGTATATCTCGATGTATGAGCTTTTCGCTAACTAGTCTTCACATCAAATACCCTTTTTGGTTGGTGTTGCTCTAAACTTTTACATGCATGTAATGTAACTATTTCGAACTTGATCCAGGCTAGTTATATTCACATGATGCTTTGCATCATTTTAAACTCAGCATTTGTACGAATTGAGCTAAGGCCTTTTTCACTCGACAATTGGTGCTGAGACATGAGCTTAACACCAATAAATTGGTCATAACTCATAATCATACCTAGAGCTTCTTTTTCTCCCTTCTTGAACCTACGAATTTTTGTTAAATAATTCTGATGAAAAGAAAAAAGAAAGCGACAAGATACCTTCTTTGTCCATCCCCAGACACTCTCAGATATTTTTTCAAACTCGCTCCCATTTTGAGTCAAGAAATAGATAAATAGACACATTTCATTGCACTGATCGAAGGAGTTCGTAGTGACTGAAGCGGTCAAAGACCAATAAGTGAGTTATTTTTATACCAATCATTATTCTTCAGTTTGAATCCAATCTTCCGATCTCTACGAAATGGAAAAAGAATTTGACGATCAGAAAAGAGATTGTTAATATATATTTGAATCCCTATTTGAAGCAGCCTCGAGCAGACAAAGGTGTTCCCAGTAACATGATCAGCTTATTAACATGTTTTGTCTTAGATAAACTGTTCATGGGTAGGGCCCTTGTACAAATCTTGCAAATCCAAATTGCAAATAATATTCAATAAAATATTTGCACAACGATGAATTCATAATACTGTGGATCCAAGTATGTGGTGTGATTCTATAATTGGAGGCAAACTAGCTGAGTTAGCCCTTCTTTGGGCTCCATTTTAACAAGATTTAGAGGAAAATGTATTTTAAAATAGTATTTTTTTAAAAAAAATGTGTAGTTAAAAAAGGAAAATTTTTGGACTTTTACACTTAATATTATTTTATTGAAGAAATTGTGGTTGAAACAAAAAAAGAAAAATTTTTATTAAAATTAAAATGGAGTCCAAACGGGCCTCAATGTTGGTCACATGTAATGTTTAAAACAAACAGTATTAATGTAGTAGGAAAAAAATTGTTTTCTTTTAAGCTCCCAGCTTATTTGCCACAATTTGTGTACCCTAGGTTAAAAGAAAGCAAATGTTTTTGCCGAGCATGATCGTAATCCTTATTTCTTCACTAAAGATATGTAATAACTTGTTTTCAAATTCTACATATGCATAATAATTTTACTTTCTTATATTGAGTTGAGTATTTGAGGCACTACGGGTTCAATACCTCACATTGTGTTTCAAGTGGTCCGTAGCTCTAATAGATGCTCCATTGATGCCAAAATTTTGAGTCTTCTATCAATTCGTGCTCGATTTTAGAAGAGCTATTTTAGATACTAGTCTATCGCCCATGCAATGCACAAGCATGATCATTTTGAGCGTGATATTAACGTTTTTAATGTTGATATGAGTTTAGAGAAGCAAATCAATTAAGTATAAAAATAAACATTTGAGATAAGCTATGTGTGATGTACGTAATTTTGAAATTGAATGATTCAATATAGTAATGATAAAAATGAACAGTTCAGCTCTGTGCAAAGAAAAGCAGTAATTTCCACCAGTAGAAAAAAAACTCAAATAATTTTAAATCAAACAAATTTATATTGAAAAAATTTGAAATAGAAAAGAATTTATCCTTTGAAGGAGAGAAACGTAATAATTGAAAAAATTAAGTTCAATCATAAAGAGAAAATAATTTTAAAAAAATTTAAATAGAAAACAATTATCTATACTACGAAAAAAATTTAAAAAATAAATTAATCAGTAATTTCCACTAATAGAAAAATTGAAATAATTTTACATTGAACAAATTTATATTGAAAAAAATTTTAAATGGAAAAAAAAAATTGTCCTTTGAAGGAAAAAAAAAAGCAACATTTGAAAAAATTAAGTTCAATGAGAAAAAAATTTAAATAAAAAAATATTTATCTATAATATAAACAAAAAAAATTTCCATCCATTGAAACTCTCATTTCACAGAGAGAAATGAGGGAACTCTCCTTTTACAAGGTCAAAAGGAAAGTATGTCATTTTTTAAAGGAGAGACACTCCGTCCAAGAAGATAATTCTTTTTGCTTATTTTTTATTTAAATTTGTTTTGTTCGTACTATAAATTTTTTGTTTTATTTAAAATTTCCTTTAATTATTTTCTCTTTATGACAAAATTTATTTCTTTCAATTTTAATTAAATAGTATTAATATATTGTTTTCTTAATTTTTTGTTTAATTAAATAATATTTATTTATTGTTTAAGAAAGTAATTTGTTAAGTTTGAATTAAATAATATTTATTTTTAATCTTAATTATTTCATTTTAATTTAAAAACTTTATAATAATTTTTTTTCTATTTTGCCTGCAATTCTTTTTTTAATATTTACATTTAGTTTCTTTTCTTTATTATTATATATATTATTGGATTGGATATTAAATAATATTTATATATTCTTTAAGAAATTAATTTGTTAAATTTGAATTAAAGAATATTTATTTTTTATAATGATTTTCTTCTATTTTTGCCTGCAATTCCTTTTTATAATCTTTATATTTAGTTTCTTTTCTTTATTGTTATTTATATAGTATTGGATTTGATGAAGTAGTGTGTGAAAATGGAGAAATATTTATATAAGTATGATTTAAGAAATAGCTCGTTGTGTTTGCAACAGAAAGGATAAAAAGGAAACTAAAATAAGTACAACAACCTATTAATAATGTCAAAAGTAGTATTTTTATTGCTATTCGACAGTATTTTAACCGTAGTCTGTACCCGAACGTATATGATTAGGTTCGTGTACATAGACATAGACATAGACATAGAGAGATCATTTTACTTTTTTCAAAATTACAAAATAAAACACTCATGACTGCTTATTGTCACAAAAGTAATATAGATGTTGCACACTCATGTTTTTGTTTTGAGGGCATTACAGTGTTTCGTTCATCAGTTTTATAGTCTGTGTGAGTCTTTTTCTTGGGTTTTGACTCTACTTCAGTAGGTACATTCGATGGTTGGAAGAGAGACCTTTTTTCATGTGGTGGAGTGATTTCTTCAGTGGCTATGAAAATTTCATCGGGTTGGCCATCAACTTTGTTCTTGCCCTTTGCATCTTTGTTGTCTGAACTTTCTTTCATTTCAATTGGCCTGTTCGCATCATCTGTGATAAATGAGGAATTTATTTCAGTCGGCACGGCAGAGTTGAATACGGATATGATTTCAAAGCGGTACTCAAGTGAGTAGTAGCGCTTTTCTGTCACCTTTAGGTAAAAGATCATTTTTGTATCACTTTCCAATTTCACAACATCATTGAGTTCAGTATTTCATTCCTGTGGTAGAGGTAATATATTTCAATATAGTGGCATATTTGTTATGAAGAAAGAAAGCATTATTGAAGGATGTTAGACATGATGTTCTACCTTTTTAAGATGGTTCATTATGGTATTGACATTACTTTCTAGTAACACCTCTACTGCATTTTCTATGCTGGTTGTATCTAATGAATCAGATTTGTCTTCAAGTTGTATGAAATCATTTACTGTTTTTTTTTTGGGGCAGCTATACATTATGTAGCTTGTTCATGAAGTAATTATTAGTAAAGTTTTGAACTTATGTTTAATAGAAGAAATTTCTTTGGGGCAGCACTTGCATGTTCATATTTGCAGAAGCAATATTTATGAATTTTTTCAAAGTTTACGTTGGACGTTTTCTTGCAATTACTACAGGAAATATACCAAAAATTTTGAATTCTTGATGTTATTTTCCAGTTTGCATTCATCCAGCAGAATTTTTTTCTGTTAAAAGAGATGTCTTATGTAATTAGATAGGGAGATAGTACGAAGGAAAATGTGTGATGTTACTATTATGTGTATTATGAAATATAGAGAAAATGTATTTCTGCTAATTATATTCAGTTCATTAGTTTAGGATTACCGTTAGGTAGACTCTTAGTAAATCCTCAATTAGTTTCGATTCATTCTAAGTTGGAGGAGGGCTACTCTCAAAAATTATCATCGCTCGAATTATCGTTATTGTTTATGGAGAAGGGCTACTCTCAAAAATCTGCTTGTAAAGGTCTATTTTGAAAAGTTGTCCTCGACCTTTATATTTTGTTGAGTAATGTGATTTCGTATCAATACAGATAGTAACTGCATGATATTAATGATAAATTACTTTAATACAATATCATACTATTAATTTAATTGAACGTATCAAGTGTGGTAATCTAAACTAATACTCTAACATCACTATTTGGTGTGAATACTGTTCTCTTGAACTTATAGAGTCTTTAAAAATATGAAAACAGCCATACGGGAAAGGAACAAAAAATAAAATGACATTTTCTTCTAATAATTTACACCAAATAAGAAGGAAAAACTCATTTATTTTTTATCGTAATTTGTATAAATGTGTTTACAAATACATAAAATAAGTGTAAGTAACATCCAAAAAATGATTACCAATCTTAATAATTCACAAAATTCAACTATTTTTTATTTCCATTTATACCCTTCTTTGCGTTCCTTAATTCTTCTCAATACCCCTTCCACAGCCACATCAAATGCATCCTTTATGCCCTCCAATCCTTCATTGGGCTTTGCATACACAATTTTTGGTATTACTTCAACGACTTTTTCTCTCATTTTTTTCACTTTTTCTTTGCTAATTTTTTCAAGAACACTCTTTATTGAGGTCCCATTTTTCACCTCATTCCTGTCAACGAAAACCGAGTAACTTTCCGGTTCGGTCGGCAGGAACCACTCATACTGAACGTAAGCAGACCGGTGCCAGAAGAAAACCGGGATTGAACCGGCCACCATGCAGTCAAAAATGGACCGCCGAGTGAAACTATCCCCTCTTGGCTGCAAGCAAAAATCCGAGTCAAGAAATGTGGATAAAATTTCCGACGTACCGTTTGCGCACTTTGACCCGGCACAGTCCACGACTCTGCATGAGTCTGACTCGTCATAGCATTGACTCAGTAAAATCCCCCGGAAATCGTTCTTTATAATTCCCCTTGTTGCGCCGGCAAAGCAAAAGAGGGTGTTCCGCCGCCGTGAGCGGACAAATTCTTGCCAATTGATGACGTCATGGGCGGAGCTGGGGTGGAATCCTGTGGGGTAAGGGATTCCAACGTCGAAGTAGTCCCAAGGGTTCCGCTCAATCAACAGCCGCGTGATGTTACGCATTTTGGGCATGTAAATGCAACTTGAACCCCAATCTTCCTCCTTCGATCTGCGAAAATCCCATGAAATCCGGCCCATGGAGATAAAATGATCCCAGCAATATGATTTCTTGAAGTAGCGCTGATCACTTACCCAATCCAACATCATCTTGCAGTGCTGATCGCGTTCTTGTGCTGTGGAATTGCTGGTGAATAAATACTTCTCGATCGCGAGTCCAGTGTAAAACGGAATGTAAAAAGCAGTAGCAGATTCTGCTTCCAAGGTTCTACACCGGTAATTCATCATGCGATTGTGGTAAATTAGCTCCGTCGAGAATTGGTCGGTCCAAAACCATGCAGGGCTTATATTTTCCGGGACAACCTTTGAAATCCCGGTGGCGGTTTTGCCAAAACCCGAATTCGAAAGAGCGTCGCAGCGTGAATTCCATGGGTTCAAATCATGGCAATTTTTCACTATCTCAGAGTTAAAAAGTGGCGGGAGGTTGTAAATGTAAACTTCACCATATGGGCAGCTTCCAGAGGTTGTGGGATTATTATTATTATTATTATTATTAGTGGGAATAATTGTTGTTGCGGCGGTGGAGGAGGAAGTAAGGTTTTGTATAGTGGGGGAAGGGTTTGGAGTGCTGGCTGCGGAGAGGGACAAGAGGATAGACGGGGCGTAAAGGAGGAGGAGGAGCTGGAGGAGGACGGCGAGGAAAAACCATAAGCGACAGTGGCGGAAAGGGAGGTAAGGTTTTAGTGTGTTGAACAAATTTTTACGATATAAGACTTCTGGGTTTTGGGGTTTTGGATTTGCGGGTTGTTCGGATGATGCGTCATGGGAAATGGGAAGCATCAGGATTGGTCTTCTAAGGCGTTTGCCGCTGACAATTTGTTGGTTTTGCCGTGAAGCAGAAGCTAACTTTTGAGTGGTAGTGTCCGTGGTGATGACTCCGTCGGCGGTCACAGTGGAAGAAACAGGGCTATTGGGGGTGGCGGAGGACAGTGGAATTGAAGCTTAAATTTGGTTGAGATGGTGGGCTTATGGGCATTGAAAGGATCAATAGATTAGACGTTCACTGTGGTTTTATCAGCTGGAGAAGGCAAACAGACGTGTATTTCTTGAAGGCCTAAATTAAAATCAGGCTATTGAGGGTAATTTTGCTTAACACTTTACCCTACCAAGGGAAGATCCACATTATACCAAATTTAATTTAATTTTAGAATCAAATAATTTTAACTGAAATGAACCTAATCTCCCATCAACTAGTTTGGTTGGATAGATCTTGTTGCCTTGTTCGATTGGTTTCGATCAAAATGCAAGCCCTCTAATTTAGACGGGAGATGAAAAGAAATAAAATTTTATTTATACAGTACCGATGGGTACATAATATTAGACTCTATTTGGTGTGGATTAAAATTAAGGTTTTAGTAGATTTTTATAAAAAAAAAAAAAAAAAAAAAAAGGATGAAATGTGTTATTAAAATTAATTGTTAATTTTGACTTAACTTTTAATTTACACCACAAGAGTGGGGTTAGATTTAATTGGATAGTATTAAACGTACATAAAATAAAAATCTTGTTCCTATTATTGTATTTTCTGGGAATGATCGGCTATATCCACTCAATATTTGAGTTGTAATTGCGCAGAAGGGATGGCTAAGTGTGAGTCAATGATTGTTTGGTGTGGATTAAAATCAAATTTTTAATAAACTTTGATAAAATATGTGATTGAAAAGTTATTCTTATAAAATAGTATAAATTAATTATTATCTTTGATTTTAAATTTTGATCCAAATTTTAATTCACCCGAAATCTGAAGCAAAATGTTATTGTATTTTCTGGGAATGATCGGCTATATCCACTAAAGTAAGGTTTTATCATGGCTGGCGCCAGCAGCCGGATTTTGAAATTTGATGCATGAAGATAAGTTAGAATTTGAACCAATGATGGCCGTTCAGCCTTTGTCGTCAGGGCGCGGCGCAAATAAAACAAAGGAAAAGCTAACAGTTGAGAATGAGATTGCAATTGCCAGTTGGGTAGTGGTGGCCGTGTATAGCTGTATGTTTCGATTAGGGCTGGTAATGGTTGAATTAAACTGGTTTGGCCTCATGGGCGTGTCGAGATCTATTCGTGTCCACAAAGTGGACTCCTCTTGGTCTTGTGGCGAAATTTATAGTCAGAGCTAAGCGGTCCACGAGTCCACTAGTTGACTTGCAAGTGCTTCTGAAAAAAATAAAAAATAAAGCTTAGTTCGGCTCAAATGGAGTTTGAACTCATTGGCTCGACCTATTGTCATCCTAGTCTTGACACAAAATTTTTACTAACGACTTGTTGGATCTGAAAATAGTAGATTAAGTCCCTATCTGATTTGGATAAAAATTAATTTTTTAAATTTTAATAAAAATTGGTGATCCGTATGATTAAAAGTTGATAAAATTGGCTGGTCAAGTACCAATAATTTACCTGGTACTTTTCATCAGTTAAAGTAAAGTTAACGCTGGTTTGAGGGGTCAAACCAAAGGTTTATGAAAATTAATAAGTCGTCAAATCCTAAAATGCATGTTAAAAGGTAAATCGTTCTTATAAGTTCAATTAAAATGTGTGGTTGAAAACGAAATTTGTTCCAACTTAAAATATAGTAAACGGCTAATCTAAAGTCACATTCTAATGTCTCTCTCTTTTAGGTCCTTTTCTCCGTGGAGTACTATAAATTTTATATAATTTATAATGTTATCTTAATTTAAAAAGTTTGCATTTTATGTTAAAGCAAAATATATTCGTTGCGGTGAGAAATATAGTGGCACAAAATGACACATTCTTGAAGGGACCTGCGTATAACAAATATCAAATTAATTATTATAATCGATATATTTATCACTTTAAATTAATAGGACATTCCATAACCAAAATTAACAAAAACTTGGCATTAATTAAATGCGAAATCAAAATTAATCAATTTAGTTGATATTGACTTGTCAATTATCGCATTTAGCATGGAACAAGAGAACAAGAAATTGATTTTTTTATTTATCACTCAACAAAGACATGTGGTCCATCACTGCAATTTAAAGTTCAATCATTAGCAAATGAATAATGTTATTTGTAATTACTCACCATTGTAATTGTCATATGTGATATATGTATAGCAGTTAGTGATTTGAAATATGAAACAAGAAAAAACTATATAATAATACATTAAATCACAAATCGTCATATAAGATGTCTTCGCCTATTAATAACATTACTCCTAGAAAAAGACCTCAATCTAAGTTTTACAATAATAGAGGAATATGAGGTAATAATTACTGAAAATTCACAGCCAAAGAAAACCTCAATTTTATATCGAAATGATTTGAAAGTACACTGCTTCTTGAGGAGCAGACGTCCAACGTTAAGTGGTATTACTCACCCATATTACTTATCAGACATCACCAATGAATATAAAATAAGTGAAACCAGACAAATACTTAAAAATACGGTGACTTGAATGAATAATCGTACCTAAATATCTAAAATATTGCTAGTTGAGACAATAACATCTTATATACAATGAATCTACCACAACCTTTACTTCCACTTTCGCGTTGGCCCCAACCTATGTTAGGAGTGTGGACATCCTTATGTACAAAAATTATATACAACTAGACTTTTTTTCTCTACACTCCATCTTAGTTTTTTATTTAGAATAATGCTAGACGTATATTTTGGTTGACAACTTCTTTGACATCCCTCTATATAAAAGAAATCTGGGCAGTGATGTGGTGATTGTAGTCAAAATCAATGGTGTAGATCTAATCACATGGAAGAGTGTAACACATAATGTACATGTAGTATCATTATTTTATTTAATTGAAAACATTCCAAAATGCTCCTCCGTAGTTCTAACTTGATTTATGCAGTTTATCTATGTCATCAAAGGAGTTATATTTTTATTCCCCCGTTTGGCCTCCATTATTTCAAATTTCAATGGGTGGATTATTACTTTTTTTTAGAGAATGTGTCTTTAAAAAAGAAGAAAAAATATTTGATTTATGTGTAATATTATTTTATAGAAGATTCTGTGATTGAAAACATGAGAGAAAAATCAAATTTAATTTAATGAGGGCCAAATTGGATCTATGTCATCTCATTAGCTCATCCATGTCTAAAATGCTAAAAGCCTGTTCGACAACCATTATTCCAGGAAAAAGAGTTTTGAATAATGTTTTTTAGGAGAATTTATAGTTAAAAAGTAGGAAAAAGATTTTGGTACACGTATAGAATATTTTATTGTGTGAATGTGTGATTGAAAATGATTCTATAACAAACCATAAAATAAATTAGTGGGTGTCAAACAAGCACTAAATATAACAACTCGTCAAATAACAGGCTTCGCTTGGTTATAAAAAATTCTCTATAATTACAACACTAAGGGCCCGTTTGACAAGGTTTTAAAAGCTGCTTATGAGACTAAAAGTTGTTTTTGACCATATTTTGACAAATTTTTAGAAGCGTTTTCTCGGGTACAAGTAGCAAAAGCAGAAGCTACGTCGAACGAGGCCCTAAATCTCACAAAATAGATAATATTAACATCAATGAAGAACACACACTATCAAACCAAGTCTAAAAGAATCCCTTTCATGGATATTTTTTGTGATGCTATTCAAGCCAAGAAGTTTAATCTAGAAAATAGAGAATATATTAGAAAAAATAATTGAAAAAATCTCAAAGTAAATGAGAGATTTTCTTTGAGATTTACTATATATATATATTTTTTTATCAAAAAGTCTTCAGAAATGCATTAAGTAGAGGAATCTTCAAAAATCAGTGTCTATTTGAATACCAAAGACTTCTAAAAAATTTCAATTGAATACATTATTACTTTTAGGGATTGTGCTATATGTACAAACACATTTGTATTAAAAGTTTTACACGCTCTCACAATAGTTTTACACATATGGCCGAATTTTTTAATGCAAGGAGGACCTGCATGCATGTGAGAGTGAGTAAATCATTTTGTTAACCAAATTTTGTACAAATAGTTTTATCCTACTTTTAGAGGCTTTTTAAAGTCTATAAAAGTCTCAATTAAATACACAAATTTTTAGAGAGTTTTTAAAAGTCTCAATTGAATATACTTAAACTTTCTAAATTCTCAAAAAAATTTAAAAGTTCCAAATGAATACACCACCTAAAAGTTCCTTTTCAAACACCTTAAATAAATTTTAATTATTTGAATGAAAAAAATAAACTCTAAAACTAAAATCAATCTCGAGTGTATTATGGGTAAATGTCATTTCATTATCTATTTAGGTAATGACCAATGCTTTTTGGTTCAAATTAGAAAAATCATTAACTCAAAAAAATTTACATACTTTTAATTCATAAGAAAAATCATATAATTTTGTTTTGAGAAATTTAATTGCATCCACAATTTTCCATAGAAGGTAAATTTTCTCCGAAATCTTATTTTTTTGATAAGTTATGTTTAATAGTTGTTATGATATATATAATTTAAATGGAGGATCAAACAACTAGTCCGTATTTGTTATAAGATTATTTCAGCATTTTAAAATCAAATTCATGTTTATCGTTTTGTATTTCTCAAATATGGTGTCACAACCTACTTAAATAACCTTGATAAATGAATTTACAATGGTTGTTATGCATTGAAAATGCCATTAATGGTGGAATAAATTCTTTACAAAAAAGGTTGTTGAAGTTGAAGAAGATGATATATTCATTTGGTGAAGTATCTGGTCGACATATTATTCTCAACATTTTAAAAATATTGAGAACGACACTTAAAATTTAATTCTTGACATTATTTCAAATGTTGAGAACTATGTTATAAATTTAGCGAAGCTACATAACATTTTTGTGTTTACCATTGACCATATTGCTTATGGGTAACATGTTTGTTTTAGGTATTCGTGTTAGCTAATCTTATTTGCGTTGATGACATGCAAATATGAGAAATGTGAGGAGATTCGTTATCTCGCATGGCGGTATTCGTCAACGTGGAGGATAAGTGGAAGTGGTTTGGGAACCGAATAAAATCAATTGTCATTCAAAATGACATTAGATATGAAGAACTTTTCAATAAATTATTCGAAAAGCTTCATTTTGACATAATGAAATTTCGAATCCACTTTAAAATTAAAAGTTCCAAACATGAATATACCTTGCTGATGTAGTCGATGACGAGGATTTGAAATAGTACATTTTTGTTCACAGACAAGAAGCCTTGTGTGAATTGCATATCAATATGATGTCGGAGTTGATCATTTATCACCAATAGAAGAGACGTTATATGGGCATGAAGAAGTTGGTGTGTTCGAAGTAGAAGAGCCACAAATGATTTTAGATACCGATGTTGGCCTAGTTGAAGGAAATCCATATATTGAAAATGCAAATGAATCGAA